TCCAAGCTATTAAGTAAGCCATCTAGCGAATCCCATTCTCGACCACAAGTATTTCATCGCCACCTATGAAGTTTGTACTACAAACTTTATTAAAGTGCCGGGTATGCATTCTATAGCATTTTAGTTTACTAAAAATTCATTTAGAACTCTAAGCGATATAACGCGACATAAAATATAACATTCATTTCGTGTTTCCGATAAACGTTTCAAGTCATAGGAATTTATTTACACATTATATTCCATACATTTACACATAAGTATGATGCTCATGCAGTGTTTTAGCAAAAGATTGTACAGTGTAACACCGAGGGTGTTACAACGTAGTACAACAAACCAAGGGGGAAAATACCAAAGTTCCAATAATAGCCCCTTCATAACTTCACAGAAGTCCCAAAGGGGCTCAGGGGCTCCTGTCGGGTTCATAAACCTGGGGTCCCCAATGGACCCGCTTCTCTACAAAACATAGCCCAGCAGGCGGCGCAATGACAACACACGTCTGGGCCAGCCCAAATACATAATAACAGGCCAAGACCACGATCCGGTCCCCGACTGGCACCTCCAAACTCTGGGGGTAGGCCCCATACTCGCTTGACCTCTAGGTCGGGGGCTCCGCCTCGCCCAACCTCTGGGTCACAGGCTCCACCTCGCCCAACCTCTGGGTCGGGGGCTCCGCCTCGCCCGACCTTTGGGTCGCGGGCTCTGCCTCGCCCAACCTCTAGGTCACAGGCTCCACCTCGCCCAACCTCTGGGCCGGGGGCTCTACCTCGCCTGACCTCTAGGTCGTGGGCTCTGCCTCGCCTGACCTTTGGGTCACAGGCTCCACCTCGCCCGACCCCTTTCTCTGACCAAGGATACGTCGGACCTCTGCTCGTTGCTCTTTCCCAACAGACACGGACGGGGAAGACTGGGAACGACCGACCGGGGACTCCCGCTTAGTGTGGGCCCAGGGAGCAAGCGGAGCAGATAAGGTAAGGCGCTCAAGTCAAACGCAATACCAATGACTGTACCCTGCCATACTCTGCGCACCTGCAAGACGGTGCCTCCAGGTCATGATAGATGGACACTATACAACCTTCTAGACGCGTCAGACCACAAACAGTATTATGGGCGCCGACGTTTGCCGTACCAGGCGAACACGGGAGAGCTTGCCAGACGCGTCTGGGCATAAACAGTATTGTGGGCGCTGGCAGCCATCCCGTATCCGATGGCGTGAGCAATAAGACTAGGCAGCATACGTATACACTTTCTCTCTTTCTCTCTGACTTTTAAGGCCATCCCTTTCAACTATAAAAGGGGATGCGCTCTCTCCTAATAAACGACGCTCTCTCTCTCTCTCTCTCTCTCTCTCTCTCTCGAAGGCTCTCTCGATGACTCAAGAACACAACAGCTCAACAAGCTTTAAAGACACGCAGAGCATATGCTCCAATACTTAACATATGTTAGAGCCCCCATCACTCTCGGCCACTCGATTCAGAGTCTGACTGGGCCTCTAACACCCCCCTTCTCATTCCTTACTCGTTTGTAACCCCACAACAAACTTCGAGCACCTGGGCTCAGGAATAAAGTCATCGACCGACCTTAACTGGACGTAGGGCCCATTGTCTAAACTAGTATAAATCCTGTGTCATTGAGTGCTAGGCCACATTCGATCACAACACACAACAAAACTACAAATATTTACCTGTCGACCACATTTCGCACCGACAGATATACTCTCGATAATTTTCGTAATTAAAATGCGTCTTAATCCTAATCGCGCCACTTTCGGGCCATAGGCACGTGGCCTCATCCTGTGCGGCAATCCCTCCCTTAGTTTGGTTTGTGTCCCACTTTTCCACATCTTTCTATTGGTTCCCGTCCGTTTCACTCGCCAATGCCAACGCTCGTCCATAGCTCTTAGTCTCATGCGTAACTATCGGTGAACTGGCACACCGTTCATATGCCTAACCGTGGCACCGCGCTGCTGGCTCTGGCCACCTCCCAGAATTGGCCAAAACAGCCCGGTGCAACCCGAGAGCCGAAGCTAGTGGCACGCGCCGGCACTCCCAATGGACCACATCCAAAGCGCAATGCCAACCAAGTCCTCCTCTGCCAGACCTACGCATGACATTTGTTTGATATACTCTCGGTATTTTTCATAATTAAAACACGTCTTAACCCTAATCGTGCCACTTTTGGGTCACATACACGCGGGTCCCATCCCGCGCAGCGATTTCACCCTAAGTTTGGTTTGTCTCCTTCTTTCCGCTTCTTTCTGTTGGTTCCCGTCCGTTTGACTCGCCAGTGCGAACGCTTGCCCCTCAGCTCTCTGTCTCATGCGTAACTGTCGGCAAATTGGCACGCCGTTCATGTGCCTAACCACGTCACTGCGCTGCTAGCTCTAGCCACGTCTAAGAATTGGCCGAAACAGCCCGGTGCAACCTGAGAGCCAAAGCCAGTGGCATGCGTAGGCACTTGTCCAAAGCGGCAAGGCCAGCCAAGTCCTCTGTCTAGATTTGCGCACGATATTTTTTTGATATACTCTCAGTAATTTTCGCAATTAAAACGTGCCTTAATCCTAATCATGCCACTTCCAGGTCAGAGGCACGCTTGCCCATCCCACGGGGCGATCTCGCCCTCAAATTCGTTCATCTCCTGCTTTTTCGCTTCTTTCTGTTGGTTCCCGTTCGTTTGACTCGCCAATGCCAACGCTCCTCCCTCAACTCTCTATCCCATGCGTAACTGTCGGTGAACTCACACGCCATTCATCTGCCTGACTGCAGCACCACGCTACTGGCGCTGGCAACAACATAGAACTGAAAGAAACGGCCTAGTGCAACCCGAGAGCGTGGAGCCAATGGCGCGCACTGGCACTCAGCAACGGCCTGCATCCAAAGCGACAAAGCCAGCCAAGTCCTCCTATATCTAGACCTCCACGTGATATTTGTTTGATATACTCTCGGTAACTTTCATAATTAAAATGCATCTTAATCCTAACCGCACCACTTTCAGGTCACAGGCACACATGCCCCATCCCGCGTGGCAATCTCACCCTCGGTTTCGTTCGTCTCCTGCTTTTCTGCTTCTTTCTGTTGGTTCCCCGTCTATTTGACTCGCCAATGCCAGCATTGCTCTCTCAGCTCTCTATCCCATGCATAACTATCGGCGAACTGGCACACCGTTCATATGCCTGACCATGGCACCGTGCTGCTGGCGCTGGCCACCTCCCATAACTGGCCAAAATGACCCGACGCAACCCGAGGAGCGCGGAGCCAGTGGCACGTGCCGGCACTCCGCAATGGACCACGTCCAAAGCGACAATGCCAGCCAAGTCCTCCTTTGTCCAGACCTACGCGCGATATTTGTTCAATATACTCTCAGTAATTTTCGTAATTAAAACGCGTCTTAATCCTTATTGCGCCACTTTCAAGTCACAGGCACGCAGGCCCCATCCCTCGCTGTGTTGATATTTCTTATGCTCGGGTAGATAATTCCGCAAACGCACATGATATCGTTATAGCATTTCGCCCGAAAGTATTCGAGAGTATCGTATTTATCCTCAGAGAAGTAATGGTTTAAGAGTGTTGATAACTAACAAGGATGTATCTACTAATTAATATACCAACTAGACTAAGGTGTGAGTAAGTGATAAATAAGAGCTATCACACTGAATTGTGTCTTGGCTGACAAAAGCAAAACTGTATCATGCATACCTTTGTCTTCGGGCTTGCTCCTTACTTCTTTTCTCCAATGTTGAGCACTTGATCACCTTGTGGCCAACCATCTTCACCATGGATGCCTTCTAGCTAACCCTGGGTGTGGATATTACCTAGCTCAATCAACACTTAAAGCCACAAGCTTAGTCTACTAGTTGTCACTTAATTACCAAAACCAAAAATAGGGCTTTCAAGGGCACCATCCTTGATCATTGGATGAGATGAACAACAACATAGGATTGAAAGACAGAGAAGTATTAAATAGATTTTTATTGATTTAAAAGAATAGGTTTTTATTGATTGAACGTTGGATACCTCAATCAATCATGTACCCCATATTTTATATGGAGTAGGGGTAATCTTATCATATTAAAAGAACCAATACGGTACTATTCACATGTCATTTCATAGAGTTTTTCTTAGATGTACCAAAACTGACATGAGCCGATTCTAAAATAGTTTGGGCCTATCTTTTTTTGTGAGACCAGTTACAGACGCAGACAATCACAAACATGAGCGTACACTCACCCCTATGAATGCATGCACACACACTCTACCCCTATGAGCACCTCCGAAGAATTGAGTTAGACTGAATCGAGATTGACGAAGTCACCACAGGTGCCTCGCTATCGACGGGCACATCGTGTACCACTGAAAAAAACCTTTAAATCCTTGAATAAATCCAGGAAAATGCGAGCACCCGTGTATCTTGAGTGTCAACACAACTGAACTATGCTCAATTAGTTGAAGTAGTTAGTAGATCTGCGCATGACATTTGATGTTCCATTTATCGCTCGAAGTTTTAAAATGTTTGATTGACTTCATTTTTATGGCTTTGTGTTACTAATGTGGTGGTTGGGGGTGTTCTGATAAGGGGGTTTTGGTTTCTTAGGGTGTGTTTGGTTGGGTGTTAACTCTTAGTCTGGTCTGCTGAAGCTAAGTTGGACTTGGTTGGTTGCCTGTTCCTGGGCTTTAGCATTGCTAAACCTGGTCTCCATACGCAACCTGGCATGGCTAGCCAAGAACGAAATCGCGATCCGTTTCTGGGGACTGCCTTGGCCAGCGCTCCGTCTCCCGTCCCGTCACCTCCGTCCTTCAGACGCGGTGAGTAGAGAAGGCAGCGAGGTCCGCCTGCTCCTCCCCGACGGTGGTAGTCCCCTGCTCGTCCTCCCCGCTGGTGCTGGTCCTCTACGACTCCTCCCCGACGGAGCGCCTGGCCACCAGCCGCCACTCGCCGTCCTCCTCGCTACAGATTCGGCCATGGCGACCAAGGGGAAGCTCGGGGAGGCACCGACGGCTGCTCTCCTACGCTGCAGGGCATCTCCCGGCCGCCCACTTGCGCGCCGCGCCCTGGCCCGACACCCGGCGACCCTGCTGACCACCCCCATCCACACGGGCAGCAGGAGCCGCCGCCGGCTCGTGCCTTGCCGAGCCCGCGCGGCAGTGCGTCACGGCGACCGCGGATGGAACTCGGCCGCGCTGCTGCACCGCGTCGTGGCTTGGATGCGCCGGCGAGCTCCTCTGGACCACCCCGCGGCAACGACCTCGCCCATGGTTGCCGGCCATCCCCGCCCCTGCCCGTGGCTCCACTGAATCTCGCTCGCACAGCTCCAGACGGAGTGTCTCCAGTTGCCCTCAGCTTGAAGCTCTGTTGCACACCGACGAGAAGACCTACAGTCATCGCGTCCTCTTCTCAGCGAGTTGCTCTGAATGTCTCTCTTCTCTAAATACTCTGAATGTTAGCTACTCTGAATGTCTCTCTACCCTCCCCGCCACGCTGCTGCTCTGAATGCTCACTGCCTCCTGTCTACTAGGAATGTATGCTTGATCTGAATGCCTGAATGTTAGCTGAAAGCCTGAAACTCTGAAACCTGTTAGATGTTACTCTGAATGTTAGCTGCCTGAATGTAGTTGCTGCCTGTAGCATGTTCATTTTGTGATTCTGTTCTAATGAAATCTTTTGTATTATGTGGTATGGTTACCATTTCGACGGCTTCTGATTTGTCAAATTTGGCCTATGTACTGTGCTTGATAAGTTCAGGCGTGAATTGTGCTGTAGCTTTGAAGGAATTTGTGTTCAGGTTTCTCAGAAAACAGCATTTGCATGTGCTGAAGCACTGTATACCAATTGTGAAATGACCGATTTTGGCTTGCAGGCCTGCACTGAAGGATTGTAAACCCACTGTGAATTGAATAAAAAGCACATAGCATTTGCATATACAGCATGAGAATCTCGTTAGCAAAGGATTGGATCATCTAGTAACTAGTAACACATTTGGGAACGTGGGCCTATGCCATCCAAAATAACTAGCAGCAGCTAAGGATCTCTAGTCTGGCCTTGTTTAGTTCCCTTCAAAATTCTAAGTTTTTTCACTCTCTCTCTATCACATCAATTTTTAGCCGCTTACATAGAGTATTAAATGTATGTAAAAAAAACTAATTGCACAGTTTAGTTGGAAATCACGAGATGAATCTTTTGAGCCTAGTTGGTCCACGATTGGACAATATTTACCAAATAAGACGAAAGTGGTACTATTCATCAGGTTGAAAAAACTTTCAATCTAAACATGGCCTCTGTCTGTTTATCTTGCACTGATGTTTCTGTAATGGTGGTCTGTCTTATCATAATGAAAATGAAATGTGCTTCTGAAATCCTGTCTAAATGTAGTTGCTGCCAAAGTTAAATTGTCATGCAACCGCAACATTGAGGCTATGTTCGGGTAGCAGGTGTAATAGATGCATGTGAGCTGCGATGTTGCACTCTCGATTCTCCCTGGCCTCAAAGGCGGTAAACTTACCTGCACAAAGAAGAGGTACTCTACCTAAGACAAACTAACCCATCAAACACACTATTTACTAGCTAGACTTAGATGGTACATGCAACCAAACAAGTCCAACTTAGCTTGCTAGGGACAGGCTTGAGCTAGCCTAGCTTATTTTCTAGCTAGCCTAGAAGAAAGGCAGGAAACCAAACACACTTCAGATTCTCGCCATACCAAAAAAATGAAGCAACCTTATGGTGCTCGTGATAATTGTCCGTATCGGAATTCAAACCTTCGGGGCGTAGCAATTTTGACTGTTTATGCAGAAATGGAGGATTGTTAGAGAAATTTGTGTAAAGTAACCCGTTGCCATTGAACCAGACAAGGTGAACCCAACTCTCGACTGTTAAGAGAAGATCAAGCTCCGAAGGTCGCCTGATCACCTCCATTCTGAAGGCGCAGGATCAACTGTGCATATCGTAAGGACTGGACGAATACGGTAGTGTCAAACGCTGGCCATGGAGAGGAGCCAGTTGATGCTGACGTGGCACCTACCGACACATCTATAAATATGGGAGTGACGCATCCTCTGCGCCTATTCTAGTTCTAGCTAACTTCCCAGGCCCGACACCTTCGCCGCCGCTCGGTGCCCACCCTGTTGCCGAGGTTGCAACGCTGCAGCCGGCGAGGATCGGATGAACCAACCCCTCCTATAAATCCTAGTACGATGCCTCGATCGGACCTATATCTATATCTGGATGTTCCAGCCCTTCCCCTTCTTGGATTTTGTGGGCGGCTTCTCTTTTTTCCTGTTGGTGTGGGAATTTAGAGGGGATGAGAACTTTTGGGGGGAATCTGATGAAATCGGATCGACTATCTCGCCGTTCTTGGTCGATCTGTCGGGAAAGGAAGGATTTGTTCATGGTTTGTGGCGGGATTTGGCTGGATTTCGCCGGTTTTGGGGGCCATGGTGGTGAGCGGAAATGGGGATATTTGGTGCTGGAGTGCGGAATCGGTGTGTTGGATGTCTTGAAAACGGGATTTTGTGATATTGTACGAATTTCCCGGTGGAACAATAGCTTTTGTTGCGATATGCCGATATTGATCACGGATCATCATGTTTCAAATTCTTTTCTTTTCCCGGACTATACTGGAGGTGTGGGATGATCGGGTGTTAAACACTCCGTTAAGGTCTGATCCGCGTCGATCTTGATTTCAGGATGCGATCTATGGTCAAATGGTAGATGCGTGTTGTTTCTCCCTTTTTTTCCTGCCATCCTTTGTGTCGCTAAGGCGTAGTTTATTCTGATGATAATTGCTAGGGAGACTATATGATCAGTCTGTCTTCTGCAGACAGCAACTTAGATGAAACGCAGCTATGAATGTGATCATCTAACTCTTTGCTGCTGCTGCTGTTATCCTTCCAGTTTGTGTAAAATCTGCACATCCTGCTCAATCTGTTTGTCGAAAGTGTGACGGGCTGTCATTTGTTTCTCTTATCAGACCGAGTCCTGTGCTCCCATTCATCTGCAGAGTGCAACAGCACTGCGAGAATCATGCAGTGCCCCATGGACACTGCTGCTAGTGGAACCTCACCAGTGATGCAATTCCATAGCAATGCTGATGAGTCGACCTCCCATTCATCTCCATTGCCAACATTAATAGAACGTTCACAGCGCCATTGCTATGGGGATGGAATCCCAGGCGAATTTCCCCTTGCTGTGAGCCCCTCCATTGTTCTCCATGTGCTCTCAGCTTGTGATCTAGACCCGAAAGATCTCGCCAATCTGGAGGCAAGTCATACAACTACATTCAGTGCTTTTGTGTTTTTAATAACAGACGCTGCTACTGATGAATTATGCCTTTCTGTCCTCAGGCTACATGCACATTTTTCAGTAAACCTGCAAATTTTGCACCAAACTTTGCGTTGTCACTTCCAGAGCTTGCGGCATTTGATATGTGCCAGAAAAGGACCATGTTTAAGCTGATGAAGCAAGAAGATCAGGAGTGTCTGAAACAACGGTGTGGAGGCTCTTGGAAACATGTTCTTAAGTATATTTTGGTTAGGGAGAAGAATGGTTCTCAGGTGATTGCCGGGCCTGGCCATAGTATAGTTATCACCTCAAATGGAGATGTATATTCATTTGGGGCAAACTGCTCCGGTCAGCTTGGCCTTGGGGATTCAGAAGACCGGTTCAGGCCATGTATTATTAGGTAATCTTTCAGTTCTTCTGAAATAGGACCATTTAGTATTTACTATTTACCAATGTTATAACTGTCGTCTCCATGTTAGGTCTCTACAAGGCATCAGAATCACACAAGCTGCAGTTGGATCAAGATGGACAATGCTTGTGAGTGACACAGGAAGCGTCTATGCATTTGGGAAGGATAATTTCAGGGGTGCAGAATTAGTTGATGATGCTCCTATTCAGATTACAACTCCTAAGGTTGTGGAGTCATTGAAGGGTGTTTTTGTAGTTCAAGCAGCCATAGGGGGCTACTTCTCTGCAGTTCTGTCTAGAGAGGGTCGAGTTTACACTTTCTCATGGGGCAAAGCTGAGAGGCTTGGCCACAGTTCGGATCCTTCAGATGTTGAACCTCGTCTTCTCTCTGGACTTGAGGATGTTCCTGTTGCATATATCTCTGCAGGAAATTGCTACCTTCTTATGTTGGCCTACCAGCCAAATGGAATGTAAGGTTCTGCTCCGATCTGCATTTTGTTATTACGCTCTTATATCTTCAAGGGTCATTTTTATTAGTATTGATATTGACCATGAAACTTTTAGTTTCTAGAGGTATTTAACAGTGCATGCTGATATGCAGGTCTGTGTATTCTGTGGGTTGTGGTTTAGGAGGCAAGCTTGGGCATGGATGCAAAACCAATAAGGGGATGCCCAAGTTGATTGAACAGTTTCAGTCCTTGAGCTTTAAACCAGTTTCAATAGCAGCTGGCACTTGGCATGCCGCAGCCCTTGGTGCTGACGGGCGTGTGTGCACCTGGGGTTGGGGCCACACTGGTTGTCTAGGGCATGGTGATGAGGAATACAAGGCTGTTCCCACAGTGGTCGAAGGATTACGCAACGTGAAGGCCGTTCATCTCTCCACTGGTGAATACACAACATTTGTCGTCGCTGAGAATGGGGATGTATACTCCTTTGGATCCGGTGAATCCTTAGCTTTTCAGGTTCGGTCATTCTCATATTTATATTTGGACATATCGCCATTATATGTCAATGTATAACCACGCTAAAGAATAAGAGAGAGAGAAAATGATATGGAGGATCCATACTAATCATGTGTATTAGTGTTATATTTCATCCCCATCATATTGTTGGTACTACTTTCTTTTTTCTCTCTCTCTCAGGAGGACGATGAGGCAGAGGAGGGTCCGGATTTCTCGACACCGAGCATAGTGAGCTCGCTCAAGGCTCTGAACAAGAAGGTCGTGCAGATCAGCCCCACAAACGCCTCGTACTGGCTGAACTCGGAAATGGGTCACCCGCACACATTCGCGGTGATGGACTCCGGTGACTTGTGTGCCTTTGGAGGAGGGATCAGAGGCCAGCTCGGCGTGAAGCTCCTCGAGGGCGTAGAAAAGTGAGCGTCCTGATGCATGTTCCGATTGGTCTCAACTGATCCCACTCCACCAGCATTCGCCTGAACATTTGCGATGGCACTCTGGTTGCGCAAACATTCTGTTTGTGCCTTGGCACCAGTGTGGTAAGCTTAGACATGGTAGGATGTAAATATTAGGGATAATTTGTTTTCTCTGAACTCTTCGAAGTGATATGAACAGAATCGTCTGGACAAAGTTTACCTAATCTGTGACAACTGTTACCCGACTTGGTGACCATCACTAAAATCAGTGATTATTTCTGGATATTAGTGCCAGGCCACTGTTCAGAAGAGTCAAGAGGTTGTAGCTGAAGAGTATTAGCGCAGGGAAGTAGGGAACGGAATATGCACCACACCACGGCTTGCATCAGAGCCGTGCTTCGTGGGCTTGAGCTCCATCGTCGCCACCTTCCACCTGGGCGCCGGAGGGCGGAGATGGTGGCAGCCGAGCCTGTTTGGCAATCACGCGTATTCGCCAACCCTGCTTCTTGAAGTGCCGGAACTGCCGTGCTCCTTGCCGTGGCAGGTGCACAGGGCCAGGGCGTGACGCTAGATGCGATGCTGGTAGCGGCCCAAAAAGTAGTACCAAGCTACCGAGAGAGAGAGAAACATGTATACAAGCACCCCTTTCGCTCGATCGTTTCTGCGATGGCTGATACGAACAAGCGAACAGGGTGGCCGCATCGCCAGAAGCAACAATGTTGACGCTACAAATTACAATGCCACCCAATTCAGCAGAGGTGGCAAACCCATCCTGTCAGGCCTACCAGCATCTAAATTGTATGATGAAACATGAACCTATCTATTTGCACCTTTCGTTTGTACAGCTCGTACGGCTATGCTTCTCCATGATCCCTCTCGACAGTCCGTCTCCACTGTCAGTTCTCCTTCTCCCCATTTACGCTTGAGTGGATGCCATTCACGACGTCAGCCACAGGGAAACCCGCTCCCGGTTTAATAACTATGATAGGCTGAGTCAGTACATCCCTTTGAAAACAGGGTTCGATCGGCAGATGCTCGCACCGTACTCTTCGTACTCTGCTTTTGTGTGGCAAGCCTGGGCAAGGAAAGAACTCCCAAATAAGTTGTTACACTTACACATATACTGAACGAACAAGATGTAGTGTAATAAACTTGTGCAAACAGATAAGTTCACATTCAGAATTTTTCAGGTGTTGTCTGGTTCTTCCCCAGAAAATTTGTAATGCTATTATATGTGTATATATAATATAAGCTGATATACCTCGTAGAATTCGGCAGTTGAAGCAAGCACAGAGCCGCCAAACCATACCGCATATCTCTGAATTGGATGACTGACCACGTTCACTTCTATAGGCTGGGCCTGAAAATCAAATATGATTTAGGTGTGACTGAAAAACTGGCAAAGCCACAACAAAGTTTCCAGTTGGTTGTCCGCTTTTTTGCTGTCAGGAAGACATTAAGAGCAAATAAGGAAGTTTGTACCTTAGCATCTCCACTAATAAGCCGACTATTAGATGCACGGACCCGTGCATCCACTATCTTTTTTAGGTCCCGCTGTAACCTCCTATGGAAATCTTTAAACATAGTCGAGCCTCCAGACAAGACAATATTCTGTGCCATTGGAAATTCTTTAGAGTTTAGACTAGATGTAATGTCTTAGAATAAATAGTAACAATAATACTCAGATCATAAAAACCTTATAAAGAGCCCTCCTCGTGTCAATTGGGGATGATTGGATGCACTTGTCAATAACAACTTGCAAAGGAGTGGTGAAGTCGTTGTTATATATCTCTGGGTTGAAGAAGATCTGCACAAATTTAACACTAATGTGAGAAGGTTGAATTAAAATATAATGGTGATGTTAAAATGTATAGCAAAAATATCTCAGGGCACTTCGAAGAAAAGTTAGCATTGCAGTCACATAAAGTTTGAACTCAAAGTGTCAAACTAGTTATTCTACGAAGCCAACTTAACTCAGGTACAAGTGAAGTAAAGTGAACTCAGATTAACAAGAGGGAGTAGTTCTGCATGTGGACATGGTCTACCTACAACCAATTACTGCAAGTCCGAAAGAGATGGTGACATAGAAGTTACTACATATGTGTACACTCGCTTAGTCGCTTAGTAAAATCAAATACCTCAGGCCCCAGGAATCGCTCATATCCAATATCACATGTGTATTTCGCACCAGTTTTTGGTTTGATGCCCGTCCAGTGTTTAACGTACTTTGATGGCTCCCTGTCATGTTTATTGAATTCCTGAAATAGCAACAATAAGGTAGATTATGATTAATTGTCCTTTTGGAAGGACCATTACTTCTATCAAAAACTCCATGGCTAGAAGCTGGCAGGAGTGAAACATCATATTTAAAGGAAACATTCACCAGTGGGAAAACATATGAAACAAAAAACTGATGGCATCATTTGGCAAAAATCATGTTTATTTCTCGAACAGTGCTTTACACAATCAGATCTCAGTCAGTATAGTGTAGGTGTAAAGTGTTTCAATGGTTCAACTAGGGGGCCACTATACAATACTTTAAACAAAATGTACTGCCATGAAGAGCAAAAAAGAACCTGCTCCACCCACATTCTTTTGAATTTCTTTTTCTAAAAAAAATATTCTTCTGAATCAAAGTATATATGCTCACCAAGTAACATAACAAGGCACTTAATGTAATTAAATACCTTCACAATGTCTGAAGAAGTATAGCAGTACATTTCTTTAATCCTCCTTGCTACATCAAAAGATTCTTCTGGTGGAATGTTCTCACCTCTTTCCTGGATGCAAGAATACGGGACTCAGTGACTTTTTAGGCATATAATGCAGTTGTTTGGTGTTATTTTCTAAAAGAAGATTATATCAAACTATCTAAGAAACAGATGTTGTGCATCCTTTGTATCTATGTCAAAGTTAAACTATAAATCAATTCACCAAGCAAGTTGCATGCCAATGGAAAATAGTTTTAATCTACCCGCAAAAAAAATAGTTTTAATCTTATCATAGGTGTCCATTTACCCAGAAAGGCATAGCTACAATCTTTATTATAAAACAACGGTAGGTGGATCAAAGAATCTAGAAGATATTCACAAAAATCATATCATGGGCCAAGTTCAAGTGATAATCCAACAGATCAATGATTTTTTTTTTTTAAATGCAGCTATGGTTTTATCGCATGCTGTGGCTATCCTTAACTGTTAAGGTGAAGCTTTTTCTTGAACGAATGTTTAAGTGAAGCTTTTTCTTGAATGAATGTTTAAGTGAAGCTTATTGTTTTATATTATTACACAAGGAAGGAACATACCAATATAATAGACACTTCTCCAAATTAACCACAATTTCGTAATTCTATTATGTTCTATTCTCTGCTGAACAAAGTACTGTTTTCTGGAATTTTTTATTTCCTTTACATCTGGTAAGTTTCTCTAGATAAGTTGAAAGTTGAGTAGTATCTTGTGACAATCAACAAGAAAGCAAAGGAAGCTACCTTTAGAAGTTGATGAACAAACTGGGTAACATCCTTGCCTGTAATTGGAATAGATCTGATACTGCTCCCAATGACATATCCATCAGCAACTGGAACGATGTGGGTAGCCCCATCACCCACATCAACTACAACACCTGTCATTTCACACTGAAAACAAAGCATGAAGTTTCTCATAAATATAAGAGTGTGATGATCGCTCAACAGGGAAGAAAGGAAAACAGTGATGAAGCTTTTTTCGAGTACACTCTGAAACATGGCCTGCTCAATGCAATTGCCATCCATTTTAGTGTAAGGCATGCCTATGCTAAAGAAACCACAAGGCTAAGCTCTGATGACTAACCTTGGTGGTAGTGTACCCAGCGGCGAGCGCAAGGACAGGTTGGACAGCAATATAGAGGCCGGGCACATTGAACGTCTCGAACATGATCTCCCCAGTATACTCCCGGGTCTCAGGGGCAGTCAGAGGGCTCTCAGTTAGAAGAAAATAATGATCTTCCGGGTCGCACCGGAGGTAATTGAAGATGCACTGTTGCCAGAACCTCTCCATAGTATCCCAATTCTCCACCTGAAAGAGTTCATTTCAGCCCAAATCAATCGTAAGTAAGGTCGCGAAAAAAACAGCAGCAACTGGACACGGCAGTACACAGCTTGAGCGCCCACCTGGCCGTTGCGGATGGGATAGCTCAAGCTGTGCGTGCTGCTGGCGCGGGATCGGGCCAGCGCCTCCTCGCCGATGTAGAAGTCGAGGTCAGCCATGACGCCGGCGCTGTGCTGAGCAAGCCAGTTCCCCCTGGCGGGGGCGCCCCTCGCCGCCGGCTGGGCGGAGCCGGAGAAGAAATCATTGACGGCGACGACAGTGGGGGTGATGAAGCAGGGCTCCACGTTCCCCGCGAACCCCATCTTCGTGTACCTGCCGCGAGAGTCGGAGCAGATCAGCAGCGTGACTCACCGCCGTCGCGCCTCCGCGCGCAGATCTAGGGAGAGGTAGGGAGGATGGAGGGCGTACCCGGTGCCGTTGTCGATGACGACAGCGGGGCGGGACAAGGCGTCCATGGCGGGCGCCAAGCGTGTGGTCGCTCGTCAGCGACGGTGGCAATCGGGGTGGCGCCGGCTCGAGCAGGGCGAGTGGCCGGCCGCTTTTGGCAGCGGCAGGCGGAGGCGGGCGGCGGTCGCCGTCGCTGCGAGCATCCCAGCAACACCACCAACCGCGACTGGCAACCACCAGCACCAGCGCCGAGGGAAGAGCCGGCGACGTCGCCTGGAGACGAAGCTTCGAGAGGAAGGGAGGTATATCTCGGGGGTTGGCGGGCGGTGGAGACTGGAGGAGCGGAGCTCGAGCTTGCTTTGGGTCGCGGTCTTTCTGCTTCGGGGAGCGCTGGATTTGTCCTGGCGTGAGAACGCTGCGTTGCGTCGCATGCGTGTTCGAGTGCGGCGTGTTCGTCCTCGGGTTTGGTACGCTGGTGGCGTGCAGGATGATGGCGACACCGCCACCGACGCCTCCGTCTCCGTGCATGTCCCCCTCCTCTCCGCTCTCCAGGCGCTTCGCTGCCTGTTGACAGGTGGGCCCAAATCTCGTGATTGCAAGAGATCTTGTGACGAAAAGATACGGTCACACCTACTGTATGTGGTTTCAATTTTAATGGCATAAATCTCTCTCTTTAAATAAATCAGTATATCTCAGATGCAAGTAAGCATATATATGTATCTGAAAATTATATACGAGAATTATTTATATTTTATCACAGAGAGGAGCGGTGGGTAGAAATATTGATAAATATGTACTTATGATGGAATCATTAAGTAAGCACTTACTCTAAGCTAGGGTAAGCCAATAGATATATGAATGATAAGTGAATGGCAATATTAACAATCCAGAGATATAATTAGATACTCATAAATATAGTATAACTAGACTGAGTAACAATACAAGAGAGAAAGATTCCTAAGTTAGTCTTATATACCAAGTCTATGTATACAAATATATATATATATACTCTCATCTATAGCATAATTAACTCTTCATCTATGCATAAGGGACATTAATAAGGAAGATCAAGAACAGAGCATGACTTCCTTTGCAACCGGGTCCTACTTGATCTACAAACGGGAGGTGGACTACAAAGGACTCAACGGGACTGGATTCTTAGATATAAGCAAAATATATATAGGAATTAGATTTCTTTAAAATTCATATGAAAATCCTCTAATCTAAACAAACTCTTGTATATAACTCTGAACGAAAAATAACAATATGATGGGACAACTATTTACGCCACATAATTATCGAAACCCTAGGCTCCCCGCCTCGGTGGTATTTTGTTTTATCATTGACTCGGTTAACGCGGTTCTACAAATTAACTTAGAGTATGGCTAATAATACAGCCTATTAGCGGGCTGTATGATTTTGCCACATCGCACTCGCGGCCATCGGCGCCTGCTCGTGCTCGGACGATCGACACTGACCGTCCGGCGTGTCCTCCCGACTTGAGAAATGGAGTATTGGAATATGGATCTTCCGACTTTATGTTTCACTTCTCATGTGAATTTTCATCTTTAGAGCTAACACAAAGTGGTTATGCAGAACTAGGGGACTTTTCTAATTTTCTTTATGGCCCTGTTTGTTTCACTGAAATTTGGCTTATGTTGTAAAAGAAAAACACAGTTCGTTTGCTGAAAAGTACTGCTGAAGTAGTTCGCTGAAAAGTACTATTGAAATTTTCTTTATGGCCCTATCAGTACATATAAAGAGAAAAAGCTGACTGCCCAGACTGCCTATCCAAAATGCGTGTTGTCTAAGATGACATTCTTATGGTAGTTACTCCCTCCGTCCCATTGAGTTTGTCGTTGGAAAACCGTGCCCCCCTCACAATCCCGGTTCCCGAGTGACAAACTTAATGGGACGGAGGGAGTAGCTTAGTGAACGTGAACACATCTCATTTTTAGGTGACCTGATGGCCAATTCATGCACAACAGACCGATGTTCTATGGATCCATCAATATAACCACTCTACAATTCCTCTTCAGCTTGATCTTATATCTATCTCATCATATAGAAGACGGCCAAAACAAATATTATGTATTGCCTTATTTTTTAAATTTACATGTTTAAAATATCGCCGTAGCGTTAGCATGGGCAATATAATAGTGGCTAATAATACAACCCACCAGTGGCCTGTGTGATTTTGCCACATCATATATAGCCAACTAATAGCCCACAAATACTAGGTCCACATTTTTCTCTCACAGAGTTCTTTAGAACATGTGCATCAGCTGACTGTAAGCTAGCAGCCCGCTTGTCTTCTCTCTCCTCCAACTCGGCACAAAAGTGACGTGGCAGCTCTTGCAGCCTGCTTACATAACCTTATAATGCTTGCTCTTAGAGCCCTCATAGACATGTTTATGTTTTTAGACTATGCTTCAAGCAAAATTAAGATACAATTTGATGCTTTCACTCGTAGAAATAATATGTGGCCGATTCATTTTCATGAGTAAATCCTAACAAACGTGTTCGTGTGTTACAATAGAATACAATATTTATAGGAACCAGACTCTGTATCATCGTTAGATGCGAGTTGTTCTAACTTCAATGAGCGCGAGTCATGAGTTTGGGTCACATACAAGCCACGGGGCGTGCAACTCAATACATATTGGAATTAGGCCCTTTATCAATCATTGCTAAACGTAAGTTGTTCTAACTCGTATGAGTATGGATCATAAGTCCAAGTCTAAGTAAAGGAGAATGGAAGAAACTATTTATTGCCCGGATGATTAAGGGGTGGGACAAGAAAATTAGGATAAAATTTCGGATATAAGGATGGTGAAGGTACCCGGGTCCATATATACGACAATATGAGACCACCCACTAGACACGTTCGAGATAGAAACCGACAAATGCCCTAATTAACGATTGTGGGTTGCAGAGAGTTGGTGGGCAAAAAAATCTAAAACCGAACACCGAACCAGAATAGACCGAGACTAAAAGAACCAAATTTTTGGTCATCGGTCTGGTTTGGCGTTCTAAGAAAGCGATCGATATTTTATTTGTTCGGTCTTATTGCTCATTTACCCGATATACTCGGACAACCCGAAGTGCACATATTCAGCCCACCAGAACTTAGTTTGTCATAGCCACATATCGAACATTTGCTAAATCATGCACCGTACATTTGGCAGCTTTTGGCACGAAAATGAACTAGCATGTTATGTCAGTGTTGCGGCACGCCGCAAGTTCAACAACCAACCAAACGGAAACCTAAGCTTTGATCTATAATAAGAGAGAGCTAGTGGCATATGAGAGAGCTGTGGCATACCATGGCGATATATGGCAACCATCCAAACATGCTCTAAGCCCACGAAGCAGTTGCCCAATCATATAAAAACTTTTTCCTCCTGCAACTCCTTGTCGGCCTCGTCCGTCGTCTCAGAAACAAGAATGTCGTCGCCCTCGGCCGTGCCCTCGGCCTCTCACTTTGGAGCGGTGGAGCCCTGTCTGACCGACCATCCTGGGAAACTCCGTTGGGTTCCCCTCAGGCCCTCAATCCTCGATTACCAGAAGCACTTGCCGCCGCCAGGCAGATGCGTATCGCCGACGTTGTTGGCTTCTTGCTCATCAATCTCTGGCTTCCTGTTTAATGGTGAAGATGAACTCCAGGTACCTCAAATTGCTATTTTCCCATAGGTCTCTCTCTTCATTGATTTGGTGCGTGGAGCCACGGATTGAAAATCTAGCTTCACGTGTGGTGTGAGATCAGAGCTTCTCGTCCTCGTTGCTTGGTGATCGGTCAAGTTCGGTTGAGACCGAAGACCGAACCGATGTTTCGGGTAGCCAAATTGTCGGTCTTAGATTTTCCTGTCAATACTTCGGTTCCCCTTTCTCAATGACCAACTTTTAAAAAACCGATTTAGCCGAACCAAAATACGTATCGGTCGAGACCGAATGCCCAAGTACAGAGTTGGTCACAACTCAACAAAGTTTATATTATAATAGTTATAAAAATTATTAACCTAATTATTAGTCAAAATTTTTAGAATTTAAATCTTCGTATGCGTGCAGATAAAATAGAACGGAGATAGTACAAACACCGCCTATGCGACAAGTCCAAACCGATCCGTGCCCTAATTAACGATTGTGAGTCGCAGAGAGTTGGTCACGACTCGAGAACTGGGGAGACACACCATACAGACCACACCTTTGCCATACACGGGACACGGGCTCAGCCTCTCAGCCCCAGCCCCGGCCCCGTTCTGGCATCGATCGATCCAGATCCAGGCATCCAGCTGACGAGACCACATATTCCACCGCGAGGTCGTAATCGTCTTCCTCATTCCCATCCCCGTCCCCGTGACCCCGTCCCCGTTCCCCTCTCCCTGCTGCGGTGGAGCGGCATCTCGGTCCAGCCTTCGGTTGATTTCTTCGTTTTGTTGGTAAGCAAGCCTTATATTTGGACAGATTCTTCGCTCCCTCCTGCAGGATCTTTTTTCCTTTGCTTTGACCGTGAGCTCTCGGACCCAAATCCTCTTCCTGCGGCGGATTCTTCGATTCGTCAATTTTGTTCGCGGATTTTACTAGCGGTACCAGCTTAATTTCCGAATTCTCGAACCTGTTCCCACGTTGAGTCCGCGCTCCCCTGGTGCAAGGGGTGGAAAGGAAATGGATGCTCCGATTCATATAAATCTCGCCAAAGAATATGCTGATTGTGCTCGCCCCTGTTGTAATCTGTGGTTTTCCTATGTTTCTCGTCGCTTGTTTTTAGACTCTATTTTGATTATTACTGATCGATATGGGCATGTCAATTTCACAGCTGGGGTTCTGAACCCCACTTCGCGAGGCACGTCCGATCAGATCGACTATTTTATGAGTTCACAAGCCACCCAGCATGAAGTTTTTAGAATACACCCCCTTCGACAGGTAAACGTGGTATTTTCTGTTGCCGTTGGTGTGCTTTTGGTTGCATGCAATTCGTTTTTGGTTGCATGCAATTCGTTTTCCCCAGTTCACTGACTTTTGTGGTTTTGTTTATGTTTCCAGTATAAATTTGTTCCTCGAGCAGCTCAACCTTGGTGATTGTACAATCAGAGGGAACCTTGAGGCCTTCTCATGTAAGAAACTAGGAACATACTCCATTGCATCCTTTGTTGAGCATGAGCTATATGTTTTGGATAAGCTGGTATATTAATTTGCAGGTAAGCACACTGCGACAGACCGTCGGCTTTCAATAAGCCTAGAACATGAGGTACATGCCTTTCCCGGATCCATGAATTATATCATCACTGAGATCATTTTTTCTCCAACAAGGCTACAGATCATGTGTAATCTACAGTGATTTGTTTAGAAAATTTTGTCTGCTCTGGTTGGAATCATAGTAGAGCGAAACAAAGTGTTTTGATTGATTAGATACTTTCAGATAGTCCATTAAGTCCTGGTTGGTTTAGCCATTTTGGGCTTGTTTGCTTCCACTCACTTTTTCTTCTAATATGCTTCCTTTATTTATAGTTATATATTGCAAAAGTGGGCCTCTCTTTCTGTGTTTGCTTTTTCGTCAGGGGACCCCTCCTGTTATGCTTTATGTGAAATTTAGTTTAGGTACCTTCTCTCATGTATGTAGTTGATGCTTACCAGGCATTAGTTTTGTAGTTATCATCTTTCATACATGAAGAATCATGGAATGATTCATGTACAACCTCATTGCTTAATGCCACCCTTCTTCAAGCTGCAGTCCTATGCTTTTTTCCACCTGTCATGTTAGGCTTTATCTTCTACTCTTCGTGTGGCCTTGTATGCTGTTTGGGTCTTCAACATTGTTTTGAATAAGTCAATGGGAGCATGTGATTTAGTTGTTTGATTGATCGATCAGGAACCAAAGATTGTTTCTCTTTAATTTAAAATTTACTGAATGTCACAAATGGGATACCACAGATTCACAGTTGCTATTGTCTTTATGCAATCTATTCCCTAGGATCTTTAGAGATTTTTTTTTCTTCTTCAGGGAAACACCAGTCTTTTCCAAGCAAAACTTAATGTTTTTTCTCATTTAAAAGCCCACAAAGAATGCATGTATGATGTTTATATGTATTCATGCTTTTCAAATGTTGATGTTTCAATTCCAGTCTTGAATTGGTGCATGCTATTGTAATTATGCCAATCTAACTTCTCTGTTGTGCTTTCAGATTCTTGATTACCTTGGCAAGTCCGCTGATAGTGATCCTTCTTCACCAGTGGAGCACTTATCCTCCAGATCAAGGTAAGCCCCACCATTCATTGAGGCATCCAGCAAATTGGGGTTTGACCCAGTTGTATGTTTGCAAAAGTTCCTATTTGTGTTATGCATATTTTCTTTTTACATAGCCTAACTTGTTTTTTCGTTTGATGTTTGTCCAGCCGGAAAACATTGATATATCTAGTTCTCACTCTTGGCCACATATATCCAGATTATGATTTCAGGTAATATTGTCTTTGTAGCAAGTGTGTTCTAATATAATCTGGGAGGAAGGATATTTGGGTAATGCCATAGTCAGCTTTCCCTGGGCGATATGGCAAACCCGCTTTTGTCCTTTCCTACCAGCCTAAGGGGGTGTTGTCAGATGGTATGACAGACGGATTAATAACCGTTGCTCTTTGAGCTGAGAGTTCAATTCTCTCCATTTCCCTTGGTCTTTGGTGTTTGATATATCTAACTTTCTTAAGGTCTCCTGGCTGTCATGTCACACATTCATGATAGCACGACCTTCAGATTAAATTTAACATCCTTTTGTCAACATTTGTTCACTTATCAGTGCTGTTCGGGCACACTTGTTCTTCCAAGAAGAGGAGTTGGAAAGTTTCAAGCAGATGGTAGACACCTACTTATCTGATGCTTCTAGGGTAATGCTTTATGATTCCCTCTTTATCTTTTGGTTTGCATTTTTTTTTACTTTGTTCATATAAATAGATTGGTTTAGCTAGACTGCATATTCTGAAAAAGGGAAAAATACAGTAATTGATTTACTGGGCTTATTATCACATTTAATTTAAATGATCCTGAGACTTTGTTTTTCCTTTCTCACTGTCTGATATGCCTACCTGAATTTGGACTTATGTTCAGCAATGGGCAGCCACAAATGAGGGCAGTTCTCTTGTGGACAGTATGACTAAAGCAATTGATGAGGTCAGGATTCACTTGTAATGTTTGGTTTGGAGGTTGTATAGTCCTTGTATTTTATGTTTACACCTTATGTTTCAGGTTATAAAAATCAGAGAGTGTGACATCTACAGCTATAACCCAGACTCTGATGCAGATCCAGTTCTAGAGAAAGGGGCCATGTATGTTGAGTGAACTAAGATAGGATTGTAATGGTTAGCTTATGCATCTAAATCGTCATTCTGATATGGATACTAACCTTTTCTTGTAGATGGTCGTTCAACTACTACTTCTACAATAGGAAGCTAAAACGAGTAGTGAGCTTTCGATGTTACTGCACTAGGTAGGCGCTTGCTTCGAGCTGCAAGGTTCTGACATGGAACACAAGATAATCAATAATGAATTAATGACATATTCTTCTTTTTAACGCAGCAAATTATCAGGAGATGACTTCTTAACTGGTGTTGTGTCTGATGGTGAAGAGGAAGATGCCTTGATTGACATGGACATATGACTGACCGTGTTCTGCGAGCTACCTGATGTGCGTGTAATATAGAGCACGTATGCACATTTCCTGTTAGGAAACTTTTAATATGACTTCCTTTTTATCGTAGCCTGTAAAAACCATGGCCCCTGTTTACCTTTGTTTGTATATGCGGATTTGAGATTTGGCAGCGGGAAACTTCCAAAATCCCCGAGGCTTGAACTGCCATGGCAACTTGGTACTCAGTTGTTTGCTAGAACTGGAGTCTATGTTCTGCCTAGTTAAACATGAAGATATTTCTGAATATTGTGTGAACTGAATTGTCAAATTTGCTCAATTGTTAATTTATCAGGGGGAGATGGAATGGAACTCCCCCATCCTTGTTGCGACAAGTGAATTAAGCGCTATGTGGAGAGTGTTCTGTTATCTGGTGCAGTTTCATCACCAACTTGGCTTACGCCTATATTTGGCTTGTTCGCTGTTTTTTGATATCTTCTGTTTTTGACAATTTGGAATAGTGCGGGTAATTCAGACAATGAACAGGCGTCTAGTTTTTTTTTTCTATTTGCCTTAATCGTTTGGCTGTTTGGCCGTCTGGATTTGTAGAAACTGGAACCTATAACAGGTCTCGGTTCAGTATGTATTAATTTTGGTGAACGGTTCGTTAGCCAACAGCTAGCTAAAAATTGGAGAGGTAACAAAAACATGCGGCCCCTACTGTGATTTCTGTTTTTCGTGCTGCGGAATATCCACTTCTGTTTCTGCAATTTTGTCAAGGGCATTGTTTCTGTAAAAGCCTGAAATGGCACTAGTCCTATTTCGAAAAGGCAACAAAAAAATAAAAAAAAAATACGCCCACTATTTTTAGTGTTACAACGGAGCATCATTTCTGTAATTTTGTTAAAAAGTGGATTATTTCTGCAAATGCATGAAAAGGTACTACTATATATTTCAAAAAAAAAGGATAGGCCATTTCTTGGAGAATGAAGTTCCATCAAAACAGGCTGATCTCAGTTTGCTAGCATGCTTGTGCCATGGAGAAAAGCTGAGATTCATAAGAAGCAGTTAGACCCTCAACCATAGATGCCCAACGGGACGGGACGGGACGGGCCGGGCCGGCCCGGCCCGGCAACGGGTCGGCACGACATGCCCTGCGGGCCGTGCCGCCATGGGCTTCGTGCCTGGCCGACGGCCAGGCACAGCACGGCTAATCCAGCGTGCCGGGCCGGCCCAAGGCCCACTACACCAAGAGAGAGAGAGGGGGGAGGCCAGGCTGCCGTCGTTGCGAATGCCGTGGACGACGCGACTTCTCCATCCCCGACCTCTCCGCACCTCGACTTGGCTGGATCCGCGGAGGATGAGCGATGAGGCCGGATCCGCGGAGAACGAGGCCGGATCCGCGCAGAGGAGGCATGGGGAGGAGCAGCAGCGCGTGGCAGTGAGGAGGAGGTGGCCACCGTCGGTGGCAGTCTTGGGCGGAGGAGGAGGCGGTAGCCACTGCGTGGCGGCTCTCTGGGCACTGGGGCCGGAGGCGAAGCCGAGGAGAGAGGCGGTGGTCGGCAGGAGGAGGAGTCGTGGGAGGGAGGCAAGTCGGGAGGGAGAGAGAGTGGGGGGGAGGGAGAGTGGGAGGGGAGAGTGGTGGAGGAGTGGAGCGAGGTGGGAGGTGGCGGCAGGAGGAGAGGAGCTCGCGGCGGCGCACCCCACCGGCGAGTCGCGAAGAAGAGAGGGAGCGAGCGAGAGCGGGGAGGAGGCGAGGCAAGCGACTGAGCGAGAGTCCGAGAGAGAGTAGAGTGCGGCGGCGGGGGAGGGACTAAGGGAGAGGGTAGGCGGTAGGGTTAAGAGAGGAGGACTGGCCTGCTGGGCTATTGTTGGGCCTTTGGCCATTTTACGGGATGGGCCGTGCTGGCCCACGTGCCTAGGGTAAGGCCCAGGCACAGGACGTGCCAGCCCAGGCCCGCTAGCCGCTGGGCAGGGCCGTGCTTGGGCCGAAAAAAGGGCCTTGGGCCGGGCCGACGAGCTCGGGCTGCATGGCCAACTATGCCCTCAACTAAACCAGTGAATTAGTACCAAGCGAGCAGGGCTTCGTTACAAGTTTCATGGATCCAAAAATGACCAGAACAGCTCTACAAGTGCGTGCAGCAAGTTAGATACATGCCATGTGGCTCGCTCGATCGTTAGGCTATGCCGCTGGTTGATGGGGACGGCGTTTTCCGGGACCTGAGCCAGCTCTGCAGTCTGCACTGCATGTGCTCTTGGCCCGGGAAGGAGAGGACCGCATGCAGCCACCGCGAGGGAGACCTGGGTTTCGCTCGCCGATGAGCTCCGGAAACAAGAGATTCTTCGCAGGACATGTAAGGTTCTTGGGAACCTAGTTTAAGCCCAAGGCCGCCAAGAAAGGCGAAATGGCAGAGGTGTTGTGCTCACAACTCTTCTGAAATAAACAATCTGAATCCGTTCTCCTGCCATTTGACCTGTCAACTTCTTGTTGGAAATGCTCTGACATGAGCTACTGCATTATATATATACAGTATGCACGCACGCACGCGCGCGCGTACAACGCCTGCTCACCCGTCAGTCACCCCCCTGCTCTACTGGACTGCAGAGAGCGAGAGGGACGGCACACGGCAGCATGAGGTTCGTTGGTCTCGTGAGCTTGGTCGCCCTCATCTTCCTCCTGAGCTTCAGGTCCCTGCTCCATCAGCAAGTGCTTGTTGGTAAGTGCACATCCTCGCTCTGTGATTCACCGGTCGCGTCTTGTTTCACTGTGTTGTGACCAGCTGCCGTTTTATTTCTGTCACCGAGAAGCGGCTGAAACTTGTCTTTGGTTTCGTGGAAGGAGAAGGCTCGGCGGTAGCGGCGAGAAGCGGGCGCCATGATGACAGGAACCAGCAGCACGCCGAGCAGTGGGCCGAGGAGAGGAAGAGGATGAGGTGGTTCATGACGAGGGACTACGCGAGCGCGCGGCGGCACACGCCGAGGAACAACCGGCTGGATCCTTAGCTGCTAGGCTGCTAGCTCATTCTTGACGAGTCTGTCGGTGATCATTTCTTGGTCTCCCGTGTGTGAATGCAGTCGTCCGTCTCTCAATGCACACAGGTTTTGCCCCCCTGACCATAGACCATTAGACCATAGTAATAGGATGATATAGATAGCAGTGGTATGGACTTATATATAGAAGTAAAAATGTTTTGTTTCTGCTGAACCTTGTAAGGAGAACCGCGGTGTGTTTTGGTTTCCATCTGCGAAGCTGCTTCGCTCTGAATGATAGCCCAAGGAACGAGCCGGTATGGTGTCGTTCATTCATCCATTCATTCATTTGCTTTCGTTTCTCTCTGAACTCTGAAGCGAAGATGGTTGCTGCAGAGCAAACGTTGAGAGTTCAGACTTCAGACATGATGAGTGGTTTTCACAGTTAGGACAGTGCTGATCAGAATGAAATCTGGAACGAACCAGTAGCTAGCTTTCATCGTTTCTCCCGGTTCACATGCATGTGGGCCTTGCACCAGAAGCGAGCGACGTTTGATCGTAGTGAAAATCACGTGGCTTATCTAGGGCTCTGTGGTAGACTAGGGTCAAGCAAGCCAGTGATTAGGACTTTGACCAGAGATTAATTAACGTAAAAGACACTAATTGCTCTCTTTTATCAGTGGCTACAACATGTACCGGTGGTACAGTACGTACGTCGTGGTTCGTTTACACAGCCTGCGCTGTGTAGGCTATCTGCTGCCTCTTCTGCATATACTACGCTACGCTGTCTGAAAACAACTGAGGTTCACAACTGTCCAATGCGGCATCTTTTACATATATCATTGCCTACATACCTTGTTGAGTACTCACTCTATTTCAAATTCAGATGAATAACATATCATTTTTATTTGATTTTTATTCTAAGTTTAATAACTTCTCTAACGTACCAAATTAACGTGGTTATTAGTAGCTGTCTCGGTGGGCAATAACATGACTGAACTAGTAGAGAAATTGCATGAACAGTATGAACCCACCTAGAGCTGCCGTGAGGTCTGTCTACGTACATAAAAACTTACTGCCAAATTGGCAATCAGAAATAGATGTCTCGATGCTAACCTTTTCAACGAAGAGGTCGGTGACTTGTGCATAACACGAGAGGATTGTGCTCGCCAACCCAAAGACGATGCAGCCTTTTTTTTATCTATACTCCGTGGTGCCATTAAAATAATATTTTTCGATCGGTGCTTGCAAAGCATGATGCTTTTGCATTGGTCGCCAAGTCAAACGAGGTAGCTGGCCTGCCTCCTAATCTCCTATAGCCCGTGCTGCCGTGCACACACACCTTGAGAGGGATTCTTTTTATTCTAAATAAAAAATATTAAAATTTTAATCAAACACATTCTAGGACCCTGTTTCAGCTGAAAAGCCAGCAGCTCTGCTCGCTTGGTCATAAACGATCGTGGATTATAAGCCAGAATAATATTTTTTTCTCACACCAAACCAGCCAGCAGTAATAATCCACGATCGTTTCAGCCGAAACGAACAGGCTGCAGGTTGAAAAGTACTATTCGCTGATTTGTTGTGAGAGAAAAACATTATACCATGGCTGATAAGATGTGATAGTGGAGTCCAATTAATAACAAATTCATAAAAAAAATGATGTTCTCATGATATCTTGGTTGACTTGGTGATAAGTCCAACCTTAATTTGGCTTTATAAGATAATCTCAAATGCAACTGTTTCCACTAATTATGTCTATCTAGCAAACTGAGGCTGTATTGCTTGACATCTGAAAGATCACTGAAGAAAATCTGTTCTTTTAAAGTGTTCTTGAGTTATTTAGTTTCTTCTACTGGAATACTCAGTCTAATTTGTAGCTAATATTTTCAGGGCCTCTGAAGTAAGTAATATTTTGAGAACTAGCCTTTTCCCTTTGAGTCGCGTCAGAGATCATGGCGTGACTCGCCACTACGGTTATGTTACATGCGTTGGCGAGACTAAATGAACACGCTAATATCGCCGGCTCGTCGTGAACACTTTCTACGTATGCCAGTGACGTTTACGGTTGACTCATATTGTATATCCTCTCTTGGTGATTAATAAGGAAGAGCTTATGGTTTTCCAAAGGTCTTATAATTTTTTTACATATTCTGTCAAAAAAATATTTTTTTACATATTCTGTCAAAAAAATATTTTTTACATATAGATATAAAAATCAACAAGGATCCATTTTACTTGGAATGGTATCATAACCTTTATACACTACTACACAAATCTTTACTATGGTGGGCAAAATTGATTTACCGATGCGGGCATCGCAACTGCCTTGGACGAAAGGTCACGGTTAATGGGACTTTTTACGAGGCGGTTGGAAGCCCGCCTCGGTAAATCAAATAAAAAAACTGAAAAAAGGAAAACCCGTGGATAAACCCGGCGAGCCCATCCACGTGCCACCTCCGCCGCAGCTGCTCGCCGAAGACGCAGGTCGGAGACGCCAGATCCACTGCACCCACGCCGGATCTGCTGCGTCCTCGCCGAGACGCGGGTCGGAGACGCCGGATCCACGCGCAGCCCATCCACGGTCGCCGGATCCGGGAGAGGAAGATAAGGAGAGGGTCGACGGTGGGGAAGAGCGCTACTGCCCGCCACGCCACGCACCTGGACGCGCCGTCGCCGTTGGATCCGCATCTAGACGCGCCGGTGGTGCAGGAAGGGACGCCCGCCGAATCTGTGCTCGTTGGTGAGGAAGGAGGCGATGGGGCACCGGATTTGCGGTGGTGGCGCCGGATGCGCGGTGGTGGAGGTGCTCTGACGATGGGGAAGAGGGGAAGGAGCCGAGCCCGCTCCTTGCCGGATCCACACGCGCCGCCTCCTTTCCTCGTCGGATCCACACGCCCCGCCCTGGATCCGTCGGAGAAGGAGGCCGCACGCCTTCAAGGCCATCGGAGGAGGCCGCCACGGTTGAAGGAGGAGGGGGCGCGTAGCGACGCAGGAGGAGGAGGAGGAGGAGGGGGGGCGTAGCCACGCCGGGGCGTCGGAGGAGGAAGAGGCGGCCGCGCGGCCACGCCGGAGGAGGAGACCGCGCTGCTTGGGAGGGAGGGAGGCGCAGCCCACGCCGCTAGGGAGGGAGGGAGGGAGTCATGGCCCCCATTACCTGCGCCGCTCGCTCCGTCGAAGGAGAGGACTTTGGGAGGGTCGGAGTGTAACACCCTCGGTGTTACACCCTAAATCAATTATTAAATCATGTCATGAGCATCATACTTGTGTGTTAATGCATGTGGTGAAGTGAGTAGATAATGCATTGCAACTAAAACGATCAACAGAAATGCGAAACGAAAGTTGCTCCACGAATCATACAGTTAACAAGTAGGGGTGTAAACTAATTTTTATTGAACAAAAATACTATAGAACTTATATGTGATACTTTAATGAAGTTTGAAATATGAACTTTGTAGATGACAATGAAATACTTGGTATTGAAAAAGAATATTGCTAACTAATATTTTCAGTAGCTTAGAAATGCAATATGAAATTAAGATTAGCTCAAACGCTTAGAAAATTTCTAAGCTTGTGGACAACTATACACTGCTATGTTTAGCAATTTATTTGGAGAGATTGGGTTAAGGAGTGGTGTAGTGCTATGATTCAATTTAGTAGTTCCATATGTCATCTTGAGTGTAGTGAAGCCGGTTTAGGTTTAGGAGCAACGGTTTGGTCATGATCAGCGCTTTAAAATTCGGGCACGTCACAGCTTTGTGATGTCTGGCGCCGTGCGCGTGGTCACCATGCGTGGCCGTTCTGCGTCGCTGCGCGGCTGTGCCATGCGCGCGCACGTGGCCGCACACCGATCGGCCGAGGCTGCCCTTGGTCTGGCCGTGGCCTGGCCGCGGCTTGGCCGCTCTGGCCGCACCACTTGCAGCCAGCCGTAGGCCACCGTGCCCCACCGGCCCTCTCTGCACCCGACCACCACTGCCACCGTGGTCGCCGCCGCCGCCCCCCTGTCGCACGTCGTGACGCAATCACGGTCGTAGTCGCTGCCGCTGTCATCATGTCACTCCCGCACTCGCATCTGCTCGCTACATCGCGCTGCCCACACCCTGGCCCAGTTGGGTGTCGTCCGCACATGGCCGTGCATGCCGTCGTCATGCCATTAATGGCGCTGCGGCGCGCGGGCCATGGCCGGTCGTGGATGCTCGCGCTTGTCCCCACGTGCTTGGACTTAGGTCCCTCGGCCACGACAACCGCGCCCTGCCAAGGCATGCGCCAGCCGAACCACTGACCGCACCTGCCACCCTTTTTTCCTGCTGTGCCTCTGCTTTCCACCGCCATCGAGTCGCGGTCACGGTGAGCCAGAGAGCGAGCATCTCTCATCAATTCCTCGTGCCCACATCTCCGCCTTTATGTCCTCTTGCCGACCGCCCCCTCCCCACTTTGATTGCTGCCAAGCCGAGTTCTAATTTTGGAGCTTTGCTTCCGCCACCGCGCCATTAAGGCCCAGCCCACCTCACCGTGGATAGCTTCCACCTCGCCATCTCATGCCAGACTGACTGCGCCGCTAGCCCCATCTAGAACCCTTCATCACCATACGCACCTAAGCCGCACTCCTACCACCGTCTCTACGCCGCTGATGCGGCCGCGCCACCGTGACCCATCGTCGAACTTGCCGTGCGCACGTGGCCAGTCTCACCGAGGCATCTCCGGTCAAGCCATCGCCATGGGTAGGTTCGTGGTGAGTCACTGGTGCTCACCAGCTGTTTCTACCACTTTGAAAGGCCATGGCTCACCGAAACTAGGCTGCCGCCGCCGCAGGGTGCCCGTCATTGTGGAGAGGCCATTCTACTACATCCTGGCTCGTCCAATCGCTGCCCGAAGTTGTGCGTCGTCCCATAGGTGAGGATCGAACTCCGAGGTGCGTCGAAGGGGCTCCCGGTTGGCCGGTGTGGCAGCCCCATGCCAGCCGACGCCGCGCCGGCGAGCGCGGGGCCGTCGGGGACCGGACCGGATGTAAAGATGGGTTAGGGCGAGGGCCTATC